ACTGCTCAGTTGTAGTTATTTGAAAGGGAAAACATACCTATTTTTTAATGTAGTGTTTTCTCAAATTTGTCTAATAATTAATCATGTGGGGTAATTGTTGAAATCGCCCCTCCCCTGAAGATTCTGATTTGGGAGGTGTTACCTGGCCAACTGACTGGAAGATATCCATATGTAAGCCCATTTCAAAGAAAGGTGTTCCAACAGAATGCAGAAATTACCAAACAATATCATTAATATCACATGCAAGTAAAATTTTGCTGAAGATCATTCAAAAACAGTTGTAGCAGTACATCAACAGGGAACTGCCAGAAATTCAAGAAGAAGACATGGAAGGAAGGATAAAATCGCTGATGTCAGATGACTCTTGGCTGAAGGCAAGGGATGCCAGAAAGTGTTTACTTGTGTCTTATTGATTACACAAAGGCATTTGACTATTTGGATCAAAACAAATTATAGATAACATTGCGAAGAATGGGAATTCCAAAACATTTAATTGTGCTTAATTGAACTTTTACATAGACAAAGAGACAGTTGTTCAAACAGAACAAGGGGATACCGCGTGGTTTAAATCAGTCAAAGTTTGTGTCAGGGTTGTATCCTTTCACCATATTTATTCAGTCTGTATGCTGGACTATAAGAAGAAGAACTTGGCATCAGGATTGGAGGAAGACTCATTAACAGCGTATGATATGCCACTGACACAACCTTGCTTGCTGAAAGAGAAGAGGACTCGAAGCACTTACTGAAGAAGATCAAAGACTACAGCCTTCACTATGGAATATACCTCAAGATAAAGAGAACAAAAATCCTCACAACTGGACCAGTAAGCAACATCTTGATAAATGGAGAAAATACTGAAGTTGTCAAAGATTTCATTTTACTTGGATCCACAAACAATGCTCATGGAAGCAGTAGTCAAGAAATCAAATGATGTAGTATTGCTTTGGGCAAATCTGCTGCAAAAGACCTCTTTAAAGTGTTAAAAAGCAAAGATGTCACTTTGAAGATAAGGTGCATCTGACCCAAGCCATGGTGTTTTCTATCGCTTCATATGCATGCAAAAGCTGGACAATGAATAAGGAAGACCAAAGAAGAACTGATGCCTCGGAATTGTGGTGTTGGCTAAGAATATTGAATATACCATGGACCCCCAGAAGAATGAACAAATCTGTCTTGGAAGAAGTAAGCCGGGATGTTCCTTAGAAGCAAGGATGGCGAGACTTAGTCTTGCTTACTTTGGACGTTATCAGGAGGAACGAGTCCCTGGAGAAGGACATCATTCTTGGTAAAGTAGAGGGCCAGCGAAAAAGAGGAAGACACTCAAGGAGATGGATTGACACAGCAGCTGCAACAACTGGCTCAAGCATACCAAGGATTTTGAGGATGGCGTAGAACTGGGCAGCGTTTCCTTCTGTTGTATACAGGGTCTCTATGAGTCAGAACAGACTCAGCGGCACCTAACAACAAGAACAAATGAAATTAAAATGGAGCTGTGTGGTTCACAAAATGGTGTCGGTGGTTGAGTGGACAATGCCCCTAAGACTTGTCTTCACCAAAACTTAAGCTTAACTTTCCTATAAATCAGGTCTCCCTCGCTGATCAATGAGATTCTGACAGTGCTTCAACCCTCATTGACCAATGAAATCCTGACAGCATTTCAATAGTACTTTATGTAAGCCAATTAGAAATAAGCTTCTTTTCTTCCAAGTTTGGTCAATAAAAAGCTAGTCACTGCTAATACTTGGTGGAGTACCTTTCCACATGTGGTTTGGTGCTATCTGATTCTCAAGTCTTCTGCCTGAATAAATCTCATCTAATAATTTTATTGTTGACTGAGTTTCTTTTGACAGAGGTATGGAATGGGGACCAGGAACTTGTAACTTTACAGTGATTCTCATTTCAGCCAAGCTTGGAAAACCATAGAGTCCCTAGCATCTCAGTAATTTTTTCATGGTGCCCAAAACCAAAAACCAAACTTGTTGCTGTCGAGTTGATTCAGACACATAGCGACCCTATAGTGACCCAACAGGACAGAGTAGAACTGCCCCATAGAATTCCCAAGGATCACCTGGTGGACTTGAACAGCCAACCTTTCAGTTAGCAGCCATAGCTCTTAACTACTACATCACCAGGGTTTCCTATCATGGCACCCAGGCCAAAGGAATACCCAAAAGTTCTATTTATTAAATAGAAACAGCCAAACAACTTAATAGTTGTAGTTGTTAACATAGTCCAACAGATGTCACTATATTTCCCTCAAAAAGTCAAAATATCCCACAGAGCCTCTGAGTTCTCTGAGGCACCCCAGGCCACCTCAGCATAAAGTTTGGAAGCTACAGTCTAAAGGGAACAAAGATTTTCCTGGCACACCATCTAAATAAAATGTCTGAATGGGGCTTCCATAGGAAGATTATGCAATAAAGTGGCCATGTATTCCAAAAATTTCATCACTTTTTACATCATTTGTTGCAGTTTCCATATGGTTGTTATTGCTCTAGAATAGGAGTAGGCAAACACTATCAGTAAAGAGCCAAAGAGTAATTATTTTAGGATTTGTGGTCTACATATGGTGTCTGCTGCTTATCCTTTTCTTAGACTTTTTCTTTTACACCCCTTTAAACATGTAAAAACTATTCAGTGATTTGGCCAATCCCTGTTCCAGTTAAAAACCTAGTATAACATCAAAGAGCAGTTAAATGAAAGGGATTCTGCAAGGCCAGAGGCTCTCAGTATTTTCATATCTGATTCTTTATGCTCCAGGAAAGACTATGAGGAATTGTACCTTTGCAAGGATTATGGGAAGGGTCTATTTGATTTCAAAGCTGTTATAAACAGAGGGCTGTTTTTCATGGAATTTTCTTGCTCTAAATTCTTGCTTTATGGAGAATTTACAAATTTTTCCAGTTTAAGAAGCACTGTAAAGTTTCCAAGAAAGGGCTACCAGTCATTGAACTAAGTCCCTTACCATTTATTTTCTGACTACTATAAATAGCTAATAAAATTTCACGATTTTACTAATAAAGAAAGATGTTGTTGTTAGTTGCCGTTGAGCGGGTTTCAGCTCATAGTGACCCCATGTGAAAGAGTAGAACTACCCCATAGTGTTTTCTAGGCTGTAATTTTTATGGGAGCAAAGGGACAGGTCTTTCTCCAGCAGAGTTGCTGGGTAGGTTCAAACCAGGAAACTTCTGATTAGCAGCCAGCACATTAACCATTTGCGTCACCTAGGGAAAGATATGGTAAATATCACTGGAATACTGGTTTTGAGAAAAATCAGGAAATTTCTTGGGAAGATTTTAATTCATATTAAAAAAGAACTAAAGTATCCAACCCTTTCAAAAAGGTACACTACGTTGGATTCTTCCAAGTTAGAATTTCTTACGGCCTCCATCAAAAAGATGTTTGTTCATTGAAGCTTTCCCAGAATGTCAAGTCAGCATCCCTCTTCAATGTTGCCATACCAAACCCCAAACCAAACCTGTTGCTGGCAAGTAGATTCTGACTCATACTGACCCTACAGGACAGAGTAGGTTTCCAAGGAGCAACCTGGTGGATTCGAATTGACGACCTTTTGGCTAGCAGCGGAGCTCTTAATCACTGCGCCACCAAAGCTCCATGTTGTCCTAAGCACCCTGCAATTAACACGATCACATTTTGTAATTAAATTTATTCATGTGACAGTTTAGTAACTTTCACTGTTCTCCCAGGAGATTCTATCACTGCGCAAGAGCAGAGACAGTTCTGTTTTGCTTATCATTCTATCCTCAAGCACACAGAATTGTGCCTACTAGGTGTTCAATAAATATTAGCAAATGGACAATTACAATTACATTTAGAATCCGAATCATCCAATAGAAAGTATTATGCATTTAATGACCACTAGACTTAAGATTTTAGTTTCAGAGCCACCATTAATTTTTCTTGGTCATTAGAAACAGCTATTTAAACTTTCAGAGTGTATTTCCTTATCTACAAAACTGGGACATGTCTACCTGTCGCCACCTCACGGGAATGTTGCTAGGATCACGTAGGAGGCAGAATATTTATTTCTTTTGCAAATGGAAGGTGTCTTACAGGCACCTGTCTGGCCCAGGCTGCTCAGGGAAGCCACAGACGCAAGTCCACGTCACCCCATTACATAAGGGGCCCGCCCGTCCGGTGTCCGCTGGAATCCCGGACCCTGCGTCACACAGCCACCGCCCTGAGGACGTCCAGCTGTGCCTGGAACAGAAGCGCTGCAGGGTGGGGCCCGCCCGACGCTACTTGCCAGCTACAGAACGCTTTCGCTACAGCAACCGCTCCCGGGGCTGAGGCCGGAAGCCCCACCCGACCTCGCCGGCAGCCAGATAGAGGTCGGTTCGAAAGTGACCTTGTTTTGGCGTTGCTAGGAGACCTGGCTCCCGCGCGCCCCCAACTGGCCCGCGCGGGGGTGACGCGCGGGAAGGGGGCGGGCCCGCGGCAGGCGCGGGGAGCTACAGGCGAGCGCCGTTAGGACGGCCTGGCGCGCGGCGCCCCCCCTCGGCGCCCCTGGAAGCGGCATCTCGTCTTCTGCCACCGCCTGGCCTCGCTGGGTGCCCAAGGGCAGATAACAACGCGCCTCCTAAGTGGCTGGGAGCGACGTTTGTTCTGGACCAGGGAAGGACGGTTAGTCAGGTGAGTCGCAACGGGGCGGGCAGCTGTGGTGGCCACGCCCTGCCGAGGGAGCGGAGCCGGCCGGGTGCCGAGGAACGAGGTGAAGGGGTGAAGCTGTGGAAGGGTGGGCCTGCCCTGGCGGGTGCCGCAGGTCACATCGTTCGCGCTTGAGGAGCCGGCGCGGCCGCAGCGAGCGCCCTCCGGCCAGCGGACAAAGAGTTAACGCGCCGACAGTGACCGTGGGTCCCGGATGTGAGAGCCGCGGCGCAGCGTCCATCGGCCGCGCTGCAGGTGCGCCCGGGAGGGCGGAGCGGGCAGCCTGGCGGCGACCTGAGCTTCTGAGGCTCCCCTCTCGCTGCAAGGGCCGCTGGGCTTCTTCCCTGGGCGCCTTATTTTCCAACTTGAGGGCAACAGGTGGTGCCTGTGGACCGCGAGAGAGCCGGACTCCGTCGCTGTGGGAACGACAGTTAAGCTCACCAACTAGGGCGCCGGGGCGGGAGTTGTGTGGACACCCTGGCGCTGATGACCAATGGGATTTGGGATCATGGGTGGGCCGTGAGGAGTGGGCGTGGTCGGAGTCTCAGTCCAAGGTATCTAGTGCAGCAGTTGCTAGAGCTGCTTGGAGAGCCAAGCCGAGCGGGCATGGGGAGCTTTCCACCCGCGTAGTACCGCCTGCCTGCCAGCCAGTGCTTACTCATTTGGACACAAACTCCAATTCAGGAGGTGAGAGCGTTGTTATGTTTTTGGGTCGCTGGAGGGAGTAATAGTGACCTTGGTTATGCTTTGAACATGTGGAATTAGATCCCCAAGGTAGCGTTATATGTTTGAGTTTCCTGCCAAAAGAGGCACTTCTGTGGTTACGGCGACTTGGACCAGATACTGGCGACAGGATTGTCTCTGGAATGAGGTCATTGAGGTTTGAGGACCCAGGGGAGTATGAAAAGTACGTATTACTGCAGTTTCAATGAGTCTTAAAGAATTTCAGTCACAGTTATTTTATCGTTTGTCTTGGATTGCCTACGTTTCATATCTCATCTAGTTTGTTTACTAAAGCAAGTTTTATTTACCAAGTTCCCCCAAGTTGCTTATTTTAACAAAAATTGAGAAAAACAATTATAGTACATTATTTCACAAAAATAACTTATTCATTCCCCTCCTTCCCCTTCCCCCAGGAGTCTTGCAGCTGAATCACCTAGGAAGGAAAGTTCAAACGCGTAACGAAGAAATCATTTCAACTTGGGATACTTATTTGCAGCTGGAAATGGGGAATGGACTGTCAGACCAGACTTCTATCTTGTCCAACTTGCCTTCATTTCAGTCCTTCCACATTGTTATTCTGGGTTTGGACTGTGCTGGAAAGACAACTGTATTATACAGGCTGCAGTTCAATGAATTTGTAAATACCGTACCTACCAAAGGATTTAACACTGAGAAAATTAAGGTAACCTTGGGAAATTCTAAAACAGTCACTTTTCACTTCTGGGATGTAGGTGGTCAGGAGAAATTAAGGCCCCTGTGGAAATCATATACCAGATGCACAGATGGCATTGTGTTTGTTGTGGACTCTGTTGATGTTGAAAGAATGGAAGAAGCCAAAACTGAACTTCATAAAATAACTAGGATATCAGAAAATCAAGGAGTCCCTGTACTTATAGTTGCTAACAAACAAGACCTAAGGAACTCATTGTCTCTCTCAGAAATTGAGAAATTGTTAGCAATGGGTGAACTGAGCTCATCAACTCCTTGGCATTTGCAGCCTACCTGTGCAATCATAGGAGATGGACTAAAGGAAGGACTTGAGAAGTTACATGATATGATAATTAAAAGAAGAAAAATGTTGCGGCAACAGAAAAAGAAAAGATGAATAGTAATACATTTTATATCTGTGTGGAGTAGGTTTTCTCTGGTGTGATTTTGACAAATGGAAGAGTGTCTACAGCCTGGATTGCCTGCCTGCCCTCCTGGATGCTGTTAAATCTTTGTTTTGTTGAACAATCAGATGCCCAACTCTCTTGCCTTGTGGAAGATGAGTAAATGCAGTGCTTCTTAAAGTGGTCTATTCTTCACTCCCTGCACCTACCCTCCCAGCCCCCCATTCTTTGGTACTACCATTTTTTGGAAGCCAAGCAAGGATAGTAAACTGACCAGGAAACAGTTGTGGAAATTGGACCTGAAGTTAGTGAAATAAAACTTTGAAGAGTGTCTACCTAGTGTTGTGCTTATATCTTTTTGGGGGGATCCTTTGCAAGGAATTGGCATAGAAGGCTTTGTAAGTTAAGATAAAATGCTAGTGAATGGAAATGTTAAGGTAGATTAATATAAACGGTTATGTGGGTCACGTTAGTCCATTCGGCCCTTTTTTTTTGATGTAAGGGACAAGGGGGATGTGTTTGCTTTTTTCAGTTTTGACCAAATTATTTTTATCAGTTTCTGGAATCAAATAACTTAATGCTATGTCTTAATTCTAGACAATAAGTTGGTATAAGCTTAAAATAATCAAATTAAGGCATTTGGGGGCATAGTCAAGTGCATGGATTTTCCTGACAAAGCATGTTTTGGTGTGTAGTCTTTAGAAAATAACTATGCATCTTTTACATGGTCAGGTGTAGAACACCTTGTTTTGGGCTTTAGGTATATTGTAGAAATACTTTGCTGTCAGAAGCACTTTCACTTGAATAACCTAAAATTATTTACTTGACTCTTTTATATAGTAAAATTTGGGCATGTAGATGCGTATGCTTGGATACATTTTTGGATTTACGAAGAAAGTGATGAAGTCAGTGATACATGGTCTCTAAAATATTGAAAAATATTCTATTAATATTTGCTAGCTGAACAGATGTGGTTTTCCACATCATATTTTTGTAGTGTTTTGGGAGGAGCAAAAGCTTTATAAACAACACCTGATGCACTGTGGAGTGAAAATGTAAAGAATGTCTTATATCTTACATGTGCGCCGAGCTTTAATTTTTTGTTTACAAACTGAACAGCGTTATACGGGCAGTCCACTCCTGATTAGAAATAAGGAAGGAAGAAGTGGTTCAATACTGCAGATAAGAACTTCAATTATAGAAGATGAAGGGGAAAATAGCAAAGCTTTGTTTTATGAAAATTCGCTGGTGCTGTTTACATTGGAATAAATTATTATAGTAAGGAAACACCTTTGCTGAATCCTTGTCTATCGGCAGAGACTTTCATTGTATTCCATACGTTGCTTCCAATGTAATTCCACATATTAATAAATGAGCATCATTTCTATTTCTATGTGTAAAGCCAACAGCTGTTTGTTCTGAAGATAACCAGAAGAAATGCACTTTGCTAGCTTTGGTTTTGGTTTCTAGTTTTTGCTTTATTTCGTTTTTCTTTACTGGCACAGCTGAGGTTTTGGAACCTTGATTCTTGTTACACACAAAATGAAGTAGCTTCCTGTGGAGCTTTCATATGTTAAATGTACCTGCACTAGTGACAGTCACCTAGAAATGTTTATATTTCTAGGAATGTGGATAACCTAACTACCAATAAACTACTCGAGGCACTAGGAGAACGGTGTTTGACTTTGAGTTTTTATGTATTTCCATTTTTGCTTAAGCTTTTAATTAAATATATAAAAACAGCTTTGACAGCTGGGTTACATAAGTGCTATAGTACTTGGGTTCATCTGCTCATGTGTGACAGAGGCAGTGAAAGCTGTTTTCTGGTAGGACTTTTTTTTTTTTAAAACCTTCACTAATACTGAAATCATGGTGTATTCCCTAAATATGACTAGATTCATGATGGGTTAGTAAAGCTTGCTGAAAAAAAATCTTTAAATCAATTTAAATTTTCAGCCTTCTGGACTTCCCATATACTTGCTGTAAAAATAATGTTTTAACCATCGATATTGACCCTTATTTTCTAGCCTAAGAATTTGACAAGCAAATCCATGCTGTCTAAATTTTTCATATTTAGTGAATGAAAAGAAAATGGCATGAACACGATATTAGTTTTTATTTCTAAGATACATTTCCAACTTTATAGTTGAAAAATCTTAAACTTTAAGATTTTTCAGTTTGCCAAATTCAAGTTCCTTCCCACCTACTGTAGCTATTCATCCCATAAGATAGTAGGATAGTGGGGGGTCTCAAGATAAATCCTGAAGAGTTTAGTCAATGCTCTTGTGCCTAGTTTTTTGTTGTTTAAAATGTACTTTTCCTAAAGCATACTTCTGAAATTTTAAAAAATATCTGATGTTCTTGGGTTTAATACCAAACATTAAATTACTATCAAAGAACAAGGTTAAATTAAAAAACTTGGTATTTAAAAAGATTTAAGAAAAAGTTCAATGTCCAGAGTTGTTCTAAAATAGATTATAACGTTTAGGAAAAAAAAAAGTATACTTTTAAGTATCCAGTATAGATTCACTAAGAATTATGTAAAAATGAACTTAAATCCTAATTGAAAGCCACAAAGTTGTTAGTATAAATGTCTATATAGAGATAATTAATATAGAGGAATGATGGTTTATGAATATAGGGAAAAACAGACTTAGAATATTTTTGTTCATACAAGGTATTTGACACTACAGGAATGTTCTCATTAAATTATTCATGTTGACTTAGAAGGAAGTCTTTGGTAGTAGAGTGTTTCAAGGTCCTATTCAGTACAGCACTGTCAATAGTAATAAACAGAATTTTCACCAGTGATAATAACAAAGATACAAAATGTATTTCTTAAAACCTTAGATGACGGAAAACAGCATTTAGCTAATAAAACTTACAAAGTCTTGAATATATCATCATTTGAGATTGTAATTTTAAGTCTAACTCAATTAAATTTAGCAGAACATTAAATGTTTCAAAGAATCAGCTAAGAGAAGAGTGGAGGGCAACCAGATTTAGTTGCAAATTATGTAGAAGTGACTAGGGTGAGTAAATTAAAGCTTAATGTGGAACAATAGTATGCCAAGCTAATAATCATAAAATTAATATTAAAATGTATGAAAATCAAAGAGCCACTGTTGGAGTATGTATCAGATTGTGTTCATGCAAGTTAGAAATATAGGAATACCTATACGGAAGCTTCGTTTACAAGGATGTCCAATACACTGGCTAAAAACAGCATGTGCTTTGGAGTCAGATCTGGGTTCAAATCCTGCCTCTTCCAGTATTACACATGTGACCTTTTGGTAAGTTACTTGAAACTTGTCATAGTGTGAATCCCCTCCTGGTAAAATTAAAACTGTCATAGGGAATTTTGAGAGGATTAAATGAAATAGTGTGTATAAACTATTCAGCACTAAACCTGTTAACCTGTTGCCATCAAGTCAATTCCAGCTCATATAATAAAACCCAGAAAACCAAAAGCCCATTACCGTCAAGTGGATTCTGAGTCATAGCGACCCTATAGGACAGAATAAAACTGCACCATAGAGTTTCCAAGGAGCAGCTGGTGAATTAGAACTGCTGACCTTTTGGTTAGCAGGCGAGCTCTTAACCACAGTGCTACCAGGGCTCCAGGTATATAAGAACTCAATAAATGGTAGGTCTTATTAACATGTATGAATTAAATATGTGTTGAAGAACAGTATGGTATCGTTGTTAATGGCATGCAAGCCCAGGTTTAAATCCTGGATCCACCACTTAACTACTTTCATCTTGGGTAATTTATTCAACTACTCTCAGCCTTAGTTTCTTCACTTGGAATCTGAGGATTATATCTATAAATCCTTACAATTGCTTAAAAGGATTAAGTAAAACAAAGTACGATTTCTAGCAAGTGCCTGACACATAGTAAGCATAGTAAGGAGAGGAATATGACAGAAAAACTCTTGATTTGTTTTTCTTAGCATTTATGTAGCATGGCATGAAATGGCAGCTTGGTGGAACTTGGGAAGACTGTTAGCTGCCATTGAGTAGCTCCCTGACTCATAGTGACCCCATGCACAATGGACTATTGTACCATTGTGATCCATAGAGTTCTCATTAGCTGATTTTTGGAAATAAATTGCCAGGCCTTTCTTCCTAGTCTTAGTCTGGAAGCTCCACTGAAACCTGTTCAGCATCATAACAACACACAAGCCTCCACTGACAGGTGGGTGATGGCATGAGTTGCATTGGCTGGAATCCAACCTGGGTCTCCCACATGGAAGGTGTGAACTTTACCATTGAATCAATGCCCCCAACTGTAGCGGATTAGCTATCTTAAATAAGATTGGTTATAAACAAGGTAAGTTGCAAATCCTGGGTTATTAATCAAAATAAACCCATTCTTTCTTGGGCCCTCTCTTCCCTAGCTTTGTAATAAGGAAGAAGTTAATAAAGACTGTCAAAACAAAAGTATTACCTAGAGCTTTGTCCCTCACCCCTTCCTGTCCTCCTTGAAGACTAAATCAGGTAATGCAGATTAACTAGCTGCAGTTGAGTCAGTACCGACTCAGCGCAACCCATGTGATTCAGAGTAGAACTGTATTCCATAGGGTTTTCAATGCCTGATTTTTTTGGAAATAGATCACCAGGCCCTTCTTTGGGTTGATTTGAACCCCCAACATTTTGCGGGCAGCTGAGCACATTAGGTATTGGTTATCTAGTGCTGCTATAACAGAAATACCACAAGTGGATGGCTTTAACAAACAGAAGTTTATTCTCTCACAGTCTAGTAGGCTAGAAGTCTGAATTCAGGGTGCCAGCTCCAGGGGAAGGCTATCTCTCTGTCAGCTGTGGAGGAAGGTCCTTGTCATCAGTCTTCCCCTGGTCGAGGAGCTTCTCAGCACAGGGACCCCGGGTCTAAAGGACATGCTATGCTCCCGGTGCTTCTTTCTTGGTCGTATAAGGTCGCCATGTCTCTCTGCTTGCTTCTCTCTTTTATATCTCAAAAGAGATTGGCTTAAAACACAATTTAATCTTGTAGATTGAGTCCTGCCTCATTAACATAACTGTCGCTAATCCCGCCTCATTAACATCACGGGGATAGGATTTACACACACAGGAAAATCACATCAGATGACAAAATGGTGAACAATCACACAATACTGGGAATCATGGCCTAGCCAAGTTGACAGATATTTTGGGGGGACACAATTCAATTTATGACAGATATATACTAAATTATCAATTCTAAATGATTGGAACTGGTATAGGTTAATTAACACAATGTTTCTCAAAGGGTGTTCCCTGGACCAAAAGCATCAGAATTACCTACGGACTTGTTAGAAATGCAAATACTCA